GAATATAGCACTCGCATTACTCACTTCATAGATATCCATGTGTTCGATGCTCGGTTGGAATAAGAGCGGAGCCAGCCGGCATAATGCTAACCAGCCCTTATAGTGGGTCTCTAGGATCAATCCATGCAAGACGGATGGTCCAACTTGAAGGATCAGTCGGAAGTCCCGGCCTACGAGGGAGCCAGCATACTGCACTAGCGTGTGTCCCCTAAGGCGAGACGTCCCGAGGCCTGCAGTATCTATGCTCGAAAGGCGGGTTTTGAGTTCCTCCTTGCCTTTGGAATTCTGACGTGAAACAGCGTCGCGCCACCAGTACTTGACTACTCCAAGGAGGACAACGTGCAAGATTTCCACCGGTGAGTCCTGATTTGCATCAAAATCTGACCTTTTGTCAATGACACTGTTGCACCAGAATGAACTGGCCACGCTACCTGGGATATCCAGACAAGGGTTAAACAGGTTTGTGGGTAGTTGCGCTCGAAACACTTGAAGTCCCTCTCTAACCTTCTGGGATTTGGTCGTTCCAGGGGCAAGATCAGCAGGCTTGATGGATGCTTTGAGCCGGGCACATTCCGCCGCCAATTTATCAAGGAAGTACATAAAGTATTTGTCCTTGGCCCCCGACTCTGTCGCCATGTTGTCAACAGCACTTGGTGCGCCATCAAGAGTTCGTTGTAGCTGCGCCTCCAGTGCTTCCTTTGTTTCCATCTTCGTCCGAGGTCTGCCTGCCTGGTCCCGGTGAGTGACATGCGATATTTGATAGCCTATGAAATGTGGTGCTTACCTTCAGGAACTCAGCTAGCTGTTCGATATCTCCGGCCTCACCCGGCGCACGGTTCTGCGAGTCACTCCCTCGGACATGGCACACCCGGCAAAAACACTTGCCCATCATTCCGATGTGTGACGCAAACTCGCTAGACATAGGATTGTCGCCCTGAAATGCCAGTACCCAGGGCAGGAGCAACACGAACTCCCTGTCAACACAGTCCCATGCTTCGAATCCCTCTGCACGCAATTCCCTGTAACATGAGCAGTGAGTAATTGCTGCAATCATATGAACCGATCGTACTTAAGGGTTTCCACGATTGCTTCCATCATCTCTAGTGGTGGCGCTAGATTTGATGTCGCGATGAAGTGTATGTTATACAATAGTTGGACATGATCTCGTGGCAGACCAGCAAGTGTGAACAGCACCGAATTGTGCTTATTCCATTTTTTCGACACGTTTCCTGACGTGTCATCGCAGTATAGCCATATTGGCAGGGAGTACACTTTTCTACCATTTGCACGGGTCCGAAGAGGATTAACAGGTGGACTTAGCCAAGGCTCGAGCTTCCAGGTATCATCCACACTGCGAAGTACACCTGTGGTCGCAAGTCAGGCAAACAAGCAGTGTGTGTAAGGCCATCCGCTGACTAAGTACTCACCAGCAATGGCATGTGGTGGTGGTATGGCATAACGTTTTTGTGTCTCGAGTTCCGCTAACTCCATGACTGTAAGGAAGAATGCGTCGAGCGGCAGTTCGAATGCACTCCCTTCACGACCATCAATCACAAAAGCATCACCATGTGCCGCCAGCCTCAGGCGATGCACCGTGGCCCATAGACGGTCCTGCTTTCGGAACCATCGTACTGGCATCACAGGTGCGATATTGCCCAGCTCATCAATACTTGCCATACATACCTCCTCTACGAAGTAATCTTTTCCATTGCTGCGAGCCATTGGTGATGCCAAGTTCCCATCGATTTCGTATCGCCATCGCGCAGCTTGACATGCTTCTGACAGGCGAGGCCAGGAATCTTGTGGATAGAATTGGAGGTGCAGTCGCACGAGAGGATTGGCCATCTCCTGCTTTTATGGTACGTAAATGTGTACTTACATTTATGAACAAGAACTCACATGTTGGAGGATCGCTTTCCAGTCATTTACAGTGTATAGATGACCAAGCCGGCCCTCTCTCGTATGTGAGGCCACACCTGCATTGTCGATGATGTTGGAGCGCCGGTACTTGACTTGTTTGACTGTTGGTAACGTCTCGACCCCATTCTTGATTGCGAACCAACGCATTGCTCGTAATTCCATCTCCGAGAATAGAGCGCGCGGAAACGCGCCCATGACGTCTAGCAGACACTCCTTTCAAACAGGTTAACCAGCACCAAGTACAAATTCAACGGCAGATGACCCACCTCCTTTGAAGACCATGGCCACCAATCCTCCGCACGGTCGGGTAATGGCACGTAATCTGGATCTGTGTGCAGTGAGTCAGATATGAACACATGTACTGAAGGTTTTACTTGCCTTGTTGTAGATCAACAAATGTTTCATCATAGCCCAGCAAAACATCCGGGACAGGGGACTCTTCCCGTGCCATCTCCGCGGATGCCAAGTCTAACGCCTGTGGGTTACTAGTAGCGTCAGGGTCGACAGCCCCCGAAGGCTTGAAGTCGTCAAACTCAGATGAGGACGGGCGATTCAAGGCCATCAGACCGCCCCAGTCATCGTATATCTGGTCCTCGTCGTCTTCAGACAGGGCCGGTCCATGTATGACACGGGGCTGTATGTAACGGTCGAGGTCGATATTATTGGAAGAAGCGCACGCCATATTTTCAACTGGGGACGGGGAGGGGGAAGCACCTGGTGAGGTCTCGGCGGTTGGATGTCTTAGCGAAGGGGGGGCAGTAGGATTTGGTTGTGCTAGAAGGGTCGGGGAGGGCGGCGGTACTTGATCTCTAACCCGGACAGCTATGACATGTGCCCTGGAATCTTCATGGGCTATGGCCTTGCTGAGAGGCTTGAAGCGTCGTCCGGGGCAAACAACGCATTGCCAGTAGCCTTGGGCATTCCGTAAAAATACTGTTTTTATCATCAGAAATGTTAGATCCAGTCAAAGAAAGACATATGACGGTTGACGGCTCATACGATGTTCATTCACTAGACTGGTAGGCATTCTGAAAGGTAGATTCGTACAGGAGTTGTAGCTACAACGCAATACGAGGGACTTAGGATTGTGGCGGAATCTGGTAGCGGCCCCTATCGGTCCGGCCGGAGGTTACTCCCGAACAGGAAACCATTCGAATTCCGATGGTACAGCAATACCAAGGAGCGTCTGTTTGGAATCCGGGCGGGTGGCAAGGCTCTGCCGGCTAGGTGCAATTTTTTCGAGATACGGCGAGGAGATCAGTGGAGTCCTGTATTCACACCACTAGGAATCCAATCTGTCTACGTCTCCATACAAAATCCAGCTCTGACTTGGATAGCTGTGTA